GTTTGCCCACATCCAAATCCAATTTTTATCGAGTCAACTGAGTAAACTTTTCAATGCATTGCCAGGTAGATCCAATCCAGATTCATTTTCCAGAGTGATGTAAATTCCGGATACTGGCGGGTATCTCGAATACTATTCAACTACCCGGCTCTTACGGATATTATCGGGCTAATATCTGCGAATGCGGATGCATCCCACCAATTCGGTGTTTATTATTTCCACATACCCGCGGGTATGAAATTAATGATGAAGTGATTATAATGCTAGTTTGTACACATCACCGTCGGCGGGCAGGTGATCCGATACCGACGGGTATCGACGGTATGCGTGCGAACGCGCGACGCCGAAAAAAGTAGCTTCATCGATCTCGGACGAAGGGAAGAGGAGCTATGCTGCACGGATCGGCGTCGCCCCGGTTGAATTTGAAGCAGCCTCCTCCGCCGGCGTAACGACAGACACTTATAGCGCTTGAAATATTCATGATACATCCGCTACGTGGTGGTGCGCGAACGTACGGCAAATGAACGGCGGCTAACGTGCACCGTCCCTTACGGGGGCTGCGTATTCTCGCGCTGGCTGGCGCGGTCATTACGGCCCGGGTATTTGTCTTCGGCGCCTCCTCGCTCTTTGAAATTTCGTGGCGACGCTTAATGGGGCCAATTAAGCGCGAACACCCGTCTTCGACCGCGAACGTTACCATCGACCTCTTCCTCACAGCCCTGCCCCGTTGTTGTCGTCGCCATCATCGTCGTCATCGTCCTCTCCGTCGAAGCGCACCGCCACCGCTGAATTCCGCTTACGTTCGCGCGCAATATCGCCCGAAGTTTCCCGCTTGAAGTTTCGCGGACATTCATGAAGCACCGGCATTTACTCGGGCGTAACTTCCGCGCGGCGATGACATGACGCTCGTAATTCAAGCCGATGCATTCTCCGCGCGAAGGGCGGCTAACGCAGCGCCGTCGTAAAAATTCTCGCTGCGATTTCTCCCGCCGCGAACTTCCCTATCGTCGCCTGCAACTTTGCCCCGCGGGGAGTCGTTAGTTGCTCATCGTTAGCTCGCTCGACCGGTAACGAGTAAATGAGAACGGATCAAACAGGGGTTAATGAAGGTGCTCGAGAGGGAGAGAGAGAAAGAGAGAGAGAGAGAAGGAGAGCGCGTGCGAATATTATCTTGCGAAGGGGCTCTTCAGAGGCGGAAGTTTCAACGAAGTAGAGAACTCAAAGAGAACATTTTTCATCGCGAGCTGTCGTAAATTCCCTTTGGCTTCACGTCAGGACGATTTGTTAATCTCGCAAGATAACATATACTTGTCGCATTATATATATGCGACGCTAATTGCCGCGGCTAAACAGCGACTAAACCCCCAAAGGGTGGCCTGTTTATCGGGTGCTAACTCGGTCGACGGTATCGATAAGGACCGCGCGCGAAATCGGTCGATCGTAGATTAGCCGATCTTATGGTCGGCTTGACGCTCGGCTCGCGCGTCTCCGGAACGTGCGGGTAATATTCTCCGGATGCTCGTTAACGCCGCCGTGATTGACTGGTGCCATTAACCGGGCGCAACAATGACAAATTAAACTAGTCGCGGCGCTCGCTCGCCCGCGACGATACGGGGGCTTTAAAACACCTTCTTTCATCCCCGAGATCCAACAAAGAGCGTGACATGTGTACACTAAAAATTTCTTTAGGATACGTACGCACGTGGGTCTCTCTCTCCGTCTCTTTCTTTATTCGACGCTTAATTCCGCAATCGCATTACAACGCCGGTAGTAGGTCAACGAATACAATTACGTTGGAAAAAGTCCAAGTGCCGTGGAGAAAGGATCCATTATACGACTTCGAATCCGCTCTCCTTCCGCGATAATCCAGGCGCGCGTAACAGGCGTCTCCCTTTTGATTTGCGATTTTATATTTACCGGGAGGATCGGCCGATGCAAAGGGAATTAAAAGGGCGCGGGGAACGGAGGCGGGAGAGAAGGTCCGTCGTCTTTTGACGTTGTTCGTATCCGCCGTCTCATCGAGTAAACGAGGCATCGACTCTCTTTTCCTCGGATCGAGACGGGGGATCTTCGGCTCCTTCCGGGCGAGTCGCGCGCCTCCTTCTCGCACAGAGCCTCCCGCATAATAGTCTCAAAGATAGCCGATCAAATGAAACGTAGATTCAGCGCCGTGATTTAATCCGCCGTCGCGCACGAGCGCAGCTCTCTCGATCTCTCTCCTCCGTCGTCTCGATCGCGACGACCCTCGTCGTCGAAGCGAATCTATCTACCCGGCGAACTGGCGAATTTTCCACGCAAAACGAATTCCGATACCCCGCGACGAGATGCCGCCGACGGATTATCCGCCGTTCTCCTCCGCGATATTTTCGTGCACGTGCGTTACGTTAAACAGCAAAACGCGAGTTTCTTCATGAGAGGCGCGCACAGCGCGACGTTAAGCGAATTTTTGTAATTTCCTCTCCCATTTTCTCTCTCTCTCTCTCTCTCCGTACAGACACAGTGTGATTTAATCTAACGAGCCAGAGTCGCTGTCTTGTCATGCGGCGTGACTTCGTCGCGCGACTTTATCGCGCTCAGTTTTATAGCCCGCTCGCCGTAAACACCGACGATGTTTATAACGTATTCGCACAATACGATATACGATACACGATAAGCAAACTAAAAACGGAAGAGCGCGCTCGCTCGCACGCGAGCCGAAAAGTGAGCGAGATTGTATCTGGCCGCAGGCGCGCGAGAGAGAGAGGGGGGCGCGTATCTTGTGAAAAAGGGGGCTCGAACTGTGATTCACGGACTGTTTGTGCGGATGTGTGCGGTCGTGCGAAACATTGAATCACGCCTTTCGTCAGCTATTCTTCAGCCGGGGAGGTGGTATCATAGCGGGAGGAGTAATCGGCTTTGATGCGATAACGGCGCGAGTCCGTAGCGTTAACCGCCGTCCTAATTGACGGGCGTTAATCTCGCGCCCCGTTTCGTAAACGGCGGGTCGCAAACATTCCGCCTCGGATCGCCTCGGCTTGATTCGCCACGGCCCTCTTCCCCTCGACATCCGGTACACACGGTCGCGAAAGGAGGTTAATATCCCGTAATTTTCCCCTCTTTCACCTCCTCGCCCGCTCGCTCGCTCTTCCCGCGACGTTCGCGTTGTTTTCTTTTATGACAACGCTGATAAGATTAGCCAATAGAGCGTACGGTGAAAAGAGAGTCCTCCGCCGGTCGTATGTCATAATATTTTCTATCATCACAGCGCTCGTCTCCATCTCGCGGCGGCTTGAAATCCTAGCCCCCCCCCCTAGGCCCCCTCTGAATTATTGAAATATGATAATATTCCACCGGTGCGGTGGGAAAACATTCGCCTCGCCGCAGACGAGAAAAAGAAAGATCGGGAGGAGGGGAAGAGGGAGCCCCGAGACCTCCCGCAAAAAATTGTACCTTTGTATCGGGGAAATACTGGAAAGGATTATCAATGTAATACGATTACAGAGGAGGTCGCCGGCGCTCCCTCCCCGGACGCGCGCGAAAACAATTTCATATCAGACGTGGACGAGCGTCGCACGTGAAATATAGTCAAGTAAACGATAAATAATAACCCTCGTCGTTGTTCGAATTTACCTGCGAAATAATACCTGCGGAATAACACGCGGATATATTCGCCGGGATAAGCGCCGCTAATTACTTAGTATTAATTCTCGCTGTAATGGGCAGAATGCGTGTTGACAATTAACGTATAATTAGCCGCTTCATTCGCAAATCCCGTAACTCCACCGCGTAATCTCGGCCGGAGGAGTCTCGATAAATTCATTGAATACACCCGCTCGCTCCGGCGCGCTGTATAAAACAGACACGCGGTCAGAGCGACGGAAGAAAGTTACTCACAATTAGACGTACGACACGCGGCAGCGCTCGCTTGTAGCGCGCGGCACTGCGGCAGACACGGTCTTCCATCACTCGGAAACGAGGACGACGCGGCGAATCTATGCGCATTTGTATGTATAAGCTTACAAAGCGGCCGCGTTGTTTAAACATTACCCGTGGAGGCCAGAATCCACGCACGTGGTACGCTCGCATCGTAAAGAGGAGCGCCGTAAAAACTTGTCTATATAACCCCGGCGAACGTGTATAAGGTAATTTAAGCCGCGCGCGACAGTAAAGCGGCTTATTTTCAAATAATAACTTAATACGTTCACGAGTGCGAGCAAACGCGCGATACGCACGTGGTTCCCCTGCTTTTCCTCCTCTCCCTGCGTTTCTTTCTGTGCGCCCGTGTGCACGCGTTATATGCAGAGAGAACTCGAGGAGAAAGAAGTAGTAACTTGATTAAATTCTCAGGGCGATCCGAACGATCTTCGCCGCCGGTCTTAAGCAGCGGTCTCCGTTTGCGCATTGTTACGAAATGTTCAATCCCTCCCTCGACACAAAGTTCCGGGCTCTCTTTTCGGCCGGTCCGCTTTATTTGCGCGGCAAAGATTACCCGGCCTTCTTCCTCATTGTTCTTCCGCCCCGGCGGAAAGATCGCCGCGATTCGCCACGTGATATCGCAGACATTTTGGACGTCAGGTCCACGGGATTTCATGTTTATTCATGAGTACCGACGGCATAATTAAAATGGTTGTCTCGCGCTTGTTCGCATTTAACGGCGAGCTTCGTTGCACGCATGGCCGCGCGTTTAAACGTGAGTAATTGCTAACAATAATGGCTCCGTCATCGTCCTCTTTTCTAAGAATTTTCGCGCAGAATCTCTCTCTCTCTCTCTCTCTCGCTCTCTTTTTCTCTCATGTTCCGTTCGTATGCAAAGATCCGCGTATTGTCTGTTAACGAGTTTTTTTTTCTCCTCGACGCGCCCTTTTCTCCGTTTTTGTCGCCTCCATTTGTGGCGCAATGGACAAAGCCGAAGTTGTTCTCCCTATGAGAACGAGCGAAGTTTTACAATATAATTGTTATTTTGCTGCGTCGGGCAAACGTATACGATATTAATGCCATGCCTTTTCTTCTTTCTGTTACAGGTGAGTACTTTAACTTTGTCAGTACCTCCTATAATCCCGTTCGAGCGATACGCGAGTTTCCGCCAGTCACAGGTGAGTTTTATCTTGGCGCAATGCTCTGCCTTTAGCCGTAGTTATCATATCGAAACGAGTGCGTTATTGCAGCGCGGCGAATCAACATTCGCTGCGCGGACATTTTTCTTCGACAATGAGAACGGCGAAAAAATGCGGCCATATGCCGTTAATAAATGTTCCCCCTTCGATCGCTCGGATTCCGACATCGCAATCGGTGACCGAGAAACAGCAAAGCTTGACTTCCTGTGCGTGAAATCTCTCTTTTACACAGCGTATCTCTGCGATAAGAAGCCGATAAAAGCCTAGGTAAGGTACATGCCGTATCTATTGTAGCGCAAATGTAATAATACGCCGTTGTGTGCGCGAACGGCTCTAACAATAAGGTAATTTCATCGGGATTGTTTCGAGCGTCTCGCCCATGCGCGGGGCATATCGAAGCGTTAAACAGAGGGAATGAAAAAAAAAATACACGACTTCCGCGTTGTTGTATTCACTGCATATACTCCCCACCTCTCTTCTGTTCTACACATTGAAATCGTTGAAATGCACTTCAACTATCACCACCGATTACGCTTGAAACAACCGGTGTTTAAGCGCGCTTTAAACTTCACCGACCGGTCATAGGCATTCAGGCTCACAACGATTGTATGTGTGTGCCTGTCTGTGTGTGTGAAAATGCGCGAGTACGCCTGTGGGTGTGCATGCCTGCGTTTTAGTACACGTTTTGAACGAGGAGCGATTAAATATTCATAAGACGCGGCGCAATATGCCAGATATTTACGTAGAAACTTCTCTTCCTTTTTATCCTCACTAACACGGTACAGAGCGTTATGAAAACTGCAACGATTTCCCGGCTTGAAATTATTGGAAATCGTTGAAAATTTACGGCCTCGTATGCGAAACCGTTTTCCTTTTTCCGCGTCGAATATTCGCGCGCACATGCGTTCCCCGGGAACTTTCCGACTATGCGCGATTCGCGCATAGTCGATTTCTTTTTGAGAAAATGAAACTTACAACTTTAATCGCGAGAGCGCCTGGCGTCGATCAGCAACGGGAACAATTTAATTTAAAACTACTAACCCACTGAGCCCCTACAAGCGCGCAATTTATAATGAATAGAAAATTTGATAATGCTCCTAATCCTAATTTCCCACACAGGGAAAAAATAGCCTTAAATCAACGATAGATGTTCTTATATATAAGCAAGAATATTATTATATTCTTAGAAGATATTTAGTCTCGAATTGAGCGCAGGTAATTCAATTATATCAATTCAATTATAAATTCAATCAAATCGAGACCAAAAATCTACTGAGAAAATTATCATATTCTTGCTCATATATGAGAATATTTATCATTGATTTAAAACAAATTTTTTTCCCGTGTATTCTTTTATTGTGGATTGAAGTATGGTTGTCTACATGTTGAAATCTAATTTCTCGTCCCTAATTCCCTATATTTATTCCTTGTTCTTTATTCTTTACATTGTACGTGAGACCTAACCCGGGAAAATATCGACGAGTGTCCTGAAACAGCGAGGTTGCAACCGGGAATTTAACCCCAAAGTGGCCCTGAGCGGTCCCGAGAGGGGTTAACAGTGTTGCGCGACCGCCGTATGACGGTTCGCTCAAACAGTTTCGAAATCTGATACTGATTCGGATGGTAGTTCCACGCGCGACGTTGGCCCAGGGATGATAAAATCCGTATTTTTCTCGCGTTACTTTAAGGGTGGTCGTCTTTTGTGTACTCGACTTGGTGGGGGGGAGCGTCGACGAGCGTTCTGGAGGTATATATAATACATATATAATACATATATATAATATGTATATCTTCAGTCCTCTTATATCGCGAAAAGAATACATCAGAGAGATATAACGGAGGCAGAGCGCATGGAGCCAAGAGGGAACCTAAAATATTTGAGAAATACGTTTACATTCGGCAAAATTTGGAACTTGAATGCGAGATGAGAGAGAGAGAGGGAGATATTCTACTTGAACATTTTCCTTTTCTTGTTTTCTTCTTTTACTTTTATTTGCGGTGTCTCGCGTTTACGAGACTTTTCTGAGAGACGTTCGCGTTCAGTCGCGCTCGATTGTTTAAAGCGATTTATTCGATTGAAAGTAAGCTTCGCGAAGAGTGCAGGCTTTCTCGTCGAAACGGGGACACGCAGGGGGAAGGGGGGATCTCGTGTTTCCGTCCATCGACTCTGAAGTATGGTCATTGTATATCTGCTATTAAAACGGGGACAAGTTCGCTCGATACGAACGGAAGAGAAGCTCGTCCGGAAAATCAGCGGCTTGCTTTGTACACCGCTAATTGTGTCCACCGTCCGATGCGGAGATGCATCGATCCCGTCGATTTGTCTTGTGCAGTTTGACGAAGAACACATTACGGTGGCTGCGCGTACACCGTATTGAATTCGCCCTAATGGTATCTACACGCGTAAATTCCGGCGGGCTGTGCTCGACGTTAACCGAGTACATGGATTTACTCTATTCTGCTGTGTCGTGAAAGAGTTAACGAAGTGATTTCGCTCCACGCGCGCATTTGTGTATTTCACGTTCCGTGAATTGAATTCACGCGAACGCCTATTGTCCGCTTATCTATTTTCGATTTGATCTGAGAAACGGCCAAAGGTGTCGTTTCGTCGTAAATTTGTCCCTTTGCGACAATTTACCGAGCCATTCAGCCGACATCGCCAGATCTCGCGTTGTTCTCTCTCCCTCTTTTTTCTTTCTTTTCTTTTACCCCCGAGAACTGTCCATCGAAACGGCGTGATTACTTTTTTTCCGCCTATCATGGCAACACCATGCCTTTGTTTTATTCCCTCCTTCGCGAAACGCGCGTAAACGCGGCGTAAAAGTTGACGGTATAGCAATTAGGACGCGGTGTCGGACTTCGTCGCCCGCGGTGATTTTCGCGAATGCGCCGCCGGGACGGTTAGTTGATCGCGATGAAAAGTCGGTAGTTAGAGCGGGCATTGAAAGGGGTGACGGCGCAACCGTTCGCCGCAAAATCCTCCTCGGTTCGTTCGAATGCCTTGAAACTAAACGAGCAGGCTGAGCTCCATTGCTCGTAAACACCTTGTGGCTTCCGTCTCGCGAAGCGCGTCTTCCACGTGAGTAGAAGGAAAGGAGGAAGGAAGGAAGGAAAGAAAGAAAGAAAGTCAAAGTACCACCGTCGTTACTTGCAAAAGCAATAATTTTTTATCAAAATCGCGATATAAATAAAAACGATCTCGAGTCGAAATTTTTACGTTAAGTCTGCAAATTCCGTCGATCTTAAAGAGATTCTAAGGCTCAATATCGTATTTTCAATGCATCAAGTCACTAGTTTAGAAGATATTAAAAATAAAAATTAAAAATAGCACTTTAATCTCAAGAAACATGTGTAAAAAGTACCAACTTTAGCAAATATTTTAACTCTCGAATGGTAAATTTTTTCCTTAGCACGAGTAGTTAGATAATATTTCAGTATATACTTAGTAAGTTCCATCGAATTCTTATCAAACTCGTTTCGCCTTACAACTCTCGTTAAAGGATCTGTGGAAAATCTCAAAGTATAATACTATATAGGCTATTATTGTATATATTTATATTATTATATTTATACTATTTTATGTATTTATATATTATATTTTGATGCTACAAATGGTTATTTACCGTCATTTTGTTGAAGCTTAAAGAAAAACTCGTTTAAGAATTATTCACTATTCTATCACCTCATAGTCTATATTGGGCTTCCATGTTGAAGTTTAAAATAAAGCATTTATTTAAGAGTTACTCGATATTCCATTATCTCAATGGCTTTATCTGCATTTAATTTTCCTTAATTCTCAATTTCGTATATTTTACTCAACTGCAGACAGAATATTGCGATGAACGAATACTAAATAACCTACGCAATATAGCCGAATAAAATGACAAACTTTTTTCTTTCATAATCTCTTTATCATTATTTGTTACTGGCGTTAAAAAACTCGATCGGATTTGAAAGAATCAAAAGAGACGAAAAAAGGCAAATTGTAAATCCCGTCGCTGCGAATCGGCTGCATCCCACGTCCTGTAATCCGTCCTGGAGTCAAATCCTGGTCGTAATAATCGCCAGTCGCTCAATGGTGCCACACGAAAATACGAATTGATTGGAAATGCTGCGTTAATTAATGATCGCACGTTAACCGACGACGATTGTCGAATGCTACGAGCGAAATTTCTGATACGTTTCGCCCGTACTACCGTTCTGATAATTTGTTAATTTAATAATTTGACCACGTCAAAGGCCCTGAATGTTTAGAAAGCGTCAATTGTCGTGATTTCTCGACCACTATGTGTACGCGTCTTTGTTTGGCCGGCGATGACTGTTGACAATTTGACTTTGACCCTTTCAAGGGAATAATTGTTTCGGAACACTCGTATATTTGTCCGCGCCCGAGTCATTACATCTCGAGCGGGTGACGAGCGATGTGTATATATCGCGGCGCAGAGCACGTATATCGACGAATTTTTTTGACAATTTTTCCATCGGGTGTTTGTGATATTTCGTCGATTCTAGAAATATTTGATCGGACTCTTGTCGGCGCTGCGGTTAATTAACACGCATTTCGATCCGATCGAATCGTATCCACGCGAGTGTCAGTGCCAGTGAATGAGTGTCCTGTGTGACGAAATAACCAGGACGAAGAACGCGGGCAGCGATACATCATACATTTCCAGGGGTGTTGGATCATTCATTACGCAGGTTTCCGATTTTGACGGGCGTTTGACGAATTCACTGAGAATAAAAATATATCCCGTGTCGAAACATATAATTTACTCAAAGAGCCGGTGTTCATGGAGCGTCGTTGTTTGATAAATAATCATAACTTTATGAATTTCTGATCATTCGTTAACATATCCAATGAGTCACGCCAAATGATCACCGGGGACTGTGACATCACTGTGATATCACCGCTGAGTTTTATATAAAATATGATTAATTGCATTTGAAAAATCGGCGGCACGACCAGCGGATTCCGACAAAACGAGGTAAAAGATATATGTTACGAATTACCTTTATTCGCCGTATCTTTGGTAATTCAATCATCAGTTAAGCTTTTGCGCAATCAACGAAAATCAACGCGGTAGTCAACGTGTTAATGCTTGTCTCGTATGACAGGAAATATCGATATAAATAACCGAATAACGTCCCGTGAATACTTGTTTCTAATTAATCATGCATTCAATCAAAGATCGTAAATAATTCACAACCATGAATACCGGCTTTAGAATCTATTGTATTGCACATTTCGCAAGTGCTGGCGTTTACGTCTAATAATGCTGTTTGGACGGCAAGTTCGACCTTGTTTATATCTGCTTCCTTTATTATTCCTTTAGCCTTGTTAATGTGCGGAATCCATTTTAAGTCTCTGGTTGATAAAAATACCGCATTCTCTGTTGAACACACAATGGTTACCATTGTTTTTACAGCTTCTGCTCAACCAGTTTTTTTAAAAGCTACAAATTCCATCGAGAAATTTCCAACGCCAAAATAAGAAGAAAGAGATTATGAGAATAAAAATGGGTTGCTTTCACACATCTTAATCTTCATTATTTAATATTTGCTTATTTTACGTACTCTACATTTACAACTGACTAAGTAATATAATTAATATATTACTACTTCGAGTCAAAACGTGAAGAAAATCGTAATAAATAAACATTTGCAGCATGAAAGTGGGACAACAACCTCT